ATGTAATGTTCTGGAAGTTTAAACATGCATAAGGTGTGGTTCCCAACTGCCTGGAGCCTTTAGATTTTCAAAGAAGATAAACATAAATGACTATCATACAATTAGAACCTAGAAAGTTCTTTGGCAATACAGACAATGGAGAATTTGTGTCTAGAAGAACCAAGAAAAGTTCAGCTGAGCTTGAGTGAGTTTTTCCTAGGGCAAATAAAAGATTGAAGGTGTTGATGAGGCAGCATGCAAGCAAGTAGGATGTGAGAGTGAACATGCATTCAAGTTCAACTTAAGGATTGTATAAGAAAGTGTATGAAAAAAATAGGCAGAGACCAAGTTTGCATGAGTAACACCTATCATGTAAGCATTTAATGCTTGCTGTGTAAAAGTACTATTCTTTCAACATGAATAGTGAAGAAATACCCTCTTTACTGGGGCACATCAGAATTAGGAAAGGCCATAAGAAGGAACCGGTACCATGGTGTCATATTATCTCAGCTGCTGTGTTAATTTAGAGTAAAGATGACCAACAGTTGCTGTTGGCTTCTGCTCTGGCTCCTGGAAAAACCTCTTAGGGAGTCCTAAGACCACTGGTACCAGGGAAAGTCTGCAGGAATGGGCCTGATTGGTATATTCTACAAAGCTCCCCAGATTGTTCTGACATAGAGCAAGCTTAAGAACTATTCCTTGGACCAATAGAAATAATGTTGAAGAAAGAAAGCAGCATGATTTAATTGGGATTGCCTTGTTGATGGTTGTGAGTTTGAAGGAGCTAGGATTAAGAGACTCTTGTGGGTTCACTGTTCAAGTAAAGGAGAGTACACAAGTTATAGAGGCACTATGTTCCATTCACTTAGTGATTTGTAGCCGAGGGTTCTGTGGCCTGGCTTGATGGTTCATAAGGAAAGCCAGGATCCTGGAGAAAGATTATCTTAGAGTAAGCACATGATTATCAAGCAAAGTTCTGCTCTGACCTCATTACAAAATCACTTCTGTCTCTAGAGATGAGCTTCAACAAAGAGGGAAAAGGGGCATGTGCAGAGATGTTGTAAGGAGAGCACAAATAGAGTTAAAAACAGCTTCCCCAAAAGCACATTTTCTGGTGTGCATGGACCTGAGATGCTTGATGTATAACACAACCAGACATATTTTGAAATAATTAATAGGAAATTGATGGGCTGAATGAGGGGCTTTCTACCAAGATGAAGAGATTATTGAGTAGTGATGGGCATAGGTTCAGTTTTCGTTTGTGTGTAAGGGGGTGGGCATTAAATCTTAGTGATCAGTAGGACTTCTCATCATAACCCCAGCATGTTGGTGTGGAATGCCTGGGAATTCATTGTTTGCCTTCTTATTTATCCCTCCCCCATGGCAATGAGTACAACTTATATAGCACCTGCTTATGGAATCTACACTGGTTAGTCTACTCTTGGTAATCGTTCCTTGGGTGTTTGCTGCAAAGAAAAGGAGTCCAGAGGGGACAATTATTTTCATGAAAGAGCATGGTCCTGGGAGAGGCAAGGTGATATATAAGTGTGGAATCCCTAGCACATCTCAGCAAGGGGCAAGGGCCCAAAGTGCATGAAGGAGGCAGAAAAGTGATAAGTGGAGCGATCTGTGCTAACTTTTCCATTCAGGTCTGTAAGTCATAGCTCAGTGTGGAAAGGGTCTTAAGGAATAAAGCATATGAATTTGTTTCTGGGAAAAATCTTCCTGGAATCAGAGTTGGCTAAATTAAAGTTTAAAGCCAAACATAAAACAAGCAAATAAAACCAGGTAGATTTCTAACCACTGTCCTGATTAAAAAAGGGGGGGGGCAGCAAAAGGCTTAGGTGGTGTGGATGAAAACAAAGGACTAAATCAGAGACTGAATGAGACCAAGGAGCCCACATGGTGTACAGGTGATGCCAGATGACGTAAGAGAAATTTCAGAGGAGAAACGAATTGGAGTTTGCCCCTAATGAACGCTGTTTCAGACTTGGGAAGTCTGAGTTAGCTGATGAAATAGGCAGGCATGTTAATCTGAAGGATAGTTGGAATCACAGTCTCAAGGTACCAATTTAGAGGTTGCCAGTGTATCATTGAGTGAATTTCATTTATCCTATGAATACAGAAAACCTAGAGACAGAGTACAATGTGAGAAAAAGAATGACAAAAAAAAAAAATGCCTTGCAAATCAACATCTGAGGAATGAAGGGGAAGGCAGTCCAGGGCTGACTGGAGAGAGCAGAGAGGTAGGAGAAAAATACCTGGATAGGAGTGTGGGGTGGAATTAAGATTCCAGGGATGTTCAATTTCAAGACACTAGCTGCAGACAGCACCAACAGAGAGGACAAGGGAAATCTACCAATAATTGTTGGCTAAATCCCATGAGTTCTTATAGAACAGTGGACAGAAGCCAACTGTAGTTTGGCTAGAAGCAAATAGATAAGAAAGTGGACACAGCGAACATTGGGTAATTTTTTTATATATTTTTTTTTTTTTTTTTTTAACTCCCAAAAGCTCTGCCGTAAAGGAAAAGAGGTGGATGGGGAAGGTTTAAAGTATACTTTTGAAGCATGGAGCAGGATAGATAGAACATTTCACTAGGATTACGTGCAGTGAGTTCACAACACACAGATGTAGTCATTGGTCTCTGGCCAATGTCTAGCATTGCAAGAGGCAACAGCAATGATGTGGATTTACACAGTACTTCATTCTAAATGCTCCTCAATACCTGATTTTACAAATGGGAACTCATCTACCCATCACGGCTGCTTTGGAAAGTGGATCCTACTATTTCCCCCAGTTTTTTTTTTTTACAGGGAAACTATGATAGAGAGACATTAACCTGTCCAATTTGTCTTCTGCCTACATCAGTAAGCTCACACATTCATCTCAGCTTCCAAAACAATGCTTACAAGCACATATATATCATCCGATTTGGTTGAGAGTTGGGTCCTGGGCCTATACTTAGAGATGTTGCTCAGTTATCTTATTGAAGGGGAATTTCTTTAGAGGATGCTTGTCTTTGCAGTTATTTCATATCTGTAAGAGGTTGAAGTCTTAAGTCATTTCTTGACTCGTCAGTATTGATTGACTCAGTAATACTTGTCAATACAAAGCAATACAAAAACTTGTCTTGAAAATAGGTTTGGTGAGGAACACCAATGTTAAGTTACTTTGTTGTGACAAAACTAAAGTAATCACAGAGGTTAAAATGTTGGTGCATAATGCGGAGTAGAAATCGCAGTGGGATGTAGGAGAGGTGGAGAGAAGTGATGGATCTGGAAAGATGCTGAAACAAAGGTAGCCTTCACTACGTGGCTGGATGAAGTTTCAAGTTGCTTGCAGGTGCTTGATAGTAGAACACATGAAAATTGAGCACACTTTTGTATTTATAGTGTATTGCTCATATTGATGGCATCAGCTTTTCCTAGTTTTATATCTTCATTCAACCAAAGTGTTGAATGAAAATTTACAATAATAAGAATTTATGAAGTTCTTATTCCAAGGTCATTGTTATTAACACCAGTGGAAGTGTCCTGATTTAAATGAAGCATCACATTTAATCATTAAAACAAACAAACAAACAAGCAACACTGGAAATGGCCCATCATTACCCCCTAATGAGGAAATGGCTAGGCTAAGGCCACAGACCTCAAGAGCAACAAAATTTAGGCACGGAATAGATAGTGTGAATCCCAACTCAGGTTCTTAACCTATCCACTGTGTTGCACATTTTAGTGCCCTGCTCTCTCTGCTTCTTCAGAGTTTCCCCGGAGCTGTTATGTTTAAGAATGGGATGATCAGAAACTTTTGTCTTTAAATTCTCCTGCTATTTGGGGATTGATTTGTCAGAATCAATATTGGGAAAATTTGAACCTAGTTAAAAAAAATAGTTAAAATGTATCTCGGTGAAGGCAGAGAAATTCTTCCCTTTTTATTTAAACTTGCTGACTAGATCATTAAACACATTTCTTTAACAGTGTGAAGGACTATATCCTCGTATGTAGTTGTTATTCTAGATATCTGTGGGCTGACATTATAGAAAGAAAGACTTGATTAGCCATTAAGCAAGGCTCTTGAGACAGAGAGTGTGTGTGACTGTTTCTGAGATTTTATCCATCTTCCTTTCCAATACTACTCTCACTGCAGGGATGCAGAAATAAAGACAGTATTCCACTGATGTCATTCAGTGGAGCTAAGAACCTGGATGAGGACCAGCAGTGAGAAATAGCCCCATACAGTGACACTGGTCAGCTTTCATCTGGAAACTGAAAAAACAGACAGACAATCTAAAGTGGCATTGCTCTTCCCCATGCCTCCTGTTTCTGCAGCTGTGCTGTGGAAAGCTGATGGGGGAGACCCTCTAACAAACAGAGAAGAATAGCCCCACACCAGCACAAGCTCTAAGTGGCCTCCCGTACCCCCCTTACCTTTGTTTTTCTCAGTCCACACCAAAAGCTGTAAGAGACACATCTAAGCTTGTCCAAATCTCTACTAAATTAATTTCTTCTGCGTTTGATATTAAGTGAAAGTTCTTAAGTAGAAGATTTGCTCTAAACTTTAACTCATGGCAATAATCTCCTATAAGCTCAGACAGGATGAAATTATCCAATAGCCCCTAGATGTTGAGTTGTCTGGAAAATTCTAAAATGAAGATTTACACCTTTTTGGATTCTTGAACAAATGTCTTCATTTCTCTGCATTATGTGGGCCAGTCTTTAAGACAGTGCTTCTCAACCTGTGGGTCACAACCCCTTGTCAAACCTCTATCTCCAAAAAATATTTACATTGCAATTCATAACAGTAGCAAAATTACAGTTATGAATTTGCAATGAAAATAATTTTATTGTTGGGGGTCACTACAACATGAAGAACTTTATTAAAGGGTTGCAGCATTAGGAAGGTAGAGAACCACCGCTTTAAAGGATGCATTCACACCTTCATGGTACTATTGAATGCCTGCCTATTAGGGGTTTGTTATCATCAAACTCTTACTTTCCCATTGATTTTTTTTCCTGCAGGCTCAATTTGAACTTAAGACATTTCACATCCGGGGTGAGCATGCATTAATAACAGCAAGACTTGAAGAAACTATTGAAAATCTCAAGCAACAGTTAGACCACCGCTGGGGAGGAGGATGTGAAGAGATGAGAGACGCATGCATCTCTACTGATGACGACTGCCCCCCAAAGGCCTTCAGAAATGTGTGCATCCAGACAGACAGAGAGACGTTCCTCAAGCCCTGTGAAGGTGAAAGCAAGACAACCAGAAGCAACCAGATTGTACCCAAGAAGTTGAATATCTCGTTAACCCAACTCTCTCCCACAAAAGACAGTAAGGACATCCACGTACCACTTCAGACAGGGGAAGGCATCTCATCCAGTCAACAGAAGATATCACCTCCACCTCCCACACCTCCTATTCCTCCCCCTCTCATTCCTCCCCCTCCGCCTCTCCCCACTGGACTTGGACCTTTGCCACCAGCACCACCCATATCACCTGTGAGTGCTGGGCCACCACCACCACCTCCTCCACCTCCTCCACCACCTCCCCTGCCTCCAAGTGCTGGACCTCCCCCACCTCCTCCCCCACCACCACTTCCTAATGTCCTGGCTCCTCCTAACAGTGGAGGGCTTCCTCCTCCTCCTCCTCCTCCTCTTCCTCCTCCTCCCCCAGGACTTGCACCTCCACCTCCTCCTGGACTATCCTTTGGACTCAGCTCTTCTTCTAGTCAGTGTCCTCGTAAACCAGCCATTGAACCCAGCTGTCCCATGAAGCCTTTGTATTGGACTAGAATACAAATAAGTGATAAGAGGTAAGCTCTCCCTTGACCCATTCTCCATTACAAATTCACAGGAGTCTTCCCAAGTGGTGTTTTATTATTGACAGCTCAATATTTACATTGGGTAATACCCATTTTTAAATATTATAATATGGTGAATGCCTTGAGTACACATGCTTACAGTGTCTGAGGGAGATAGTTTCTGCCAGGTCTTCTGGGAGAAGAAATGTGTTCAGTATCAGATTCTTCAAGATAAATGTTCCATTTTATGGACTAGAGAAGAGTTCAGGTCTAAGCTAGGGCCATCTCTAACACCGCCGACTTAGTTGAGTAATTATAAAGACATTGGAGCAGAGTCTGCACTATTGGTTCACTAAGGATTTCTGCAATATCTTTTATGATACCCTTTCTTAGTTTTTGATAACCAGCCTTTGGGTCTGGTGTTGTCCTTTCTCTTTCTATCACTATGACAAATACCTGAGAAAAATGTGAAGGATTTATTTTGGCTTATGGTCTCAGAGATTTCAGTCTATCATGCCAGTGAGGGTATGGCACAGTGAGGTAGCTCATCTCCTGGCCAGGAAGGAGAGAAACAGAATACAACAGAAGCTTTCTCCTTTTATTTCATCTAGGCCATGAGCCTGTGGGATGATGTACTCATATTCAGGGCTGATCTTCCTACCCTATTGTAATTTTCTCTGGAAATGTCCCTGTAGACACATTCAAAGGTATTCTTCACTAATCTCTAGGGCTCCTTTTTGAATCTGGATATTTAGCAGTTGCGGGTATGCTTCAATTTTTTATGAAAAAACTGAGATGGCTGAGTTATTCATTGTCTAGATCAGAAGAGAGTCTTACAATGTAACCCCCACTTTTGAATCTGTTCGTAAGACTTCTTTTACAGCCATATTCCTTATTGATGTCCAGAGAAAGTAGCATGTGTGGGGAGCTGATGTGGCAAGCACCTTCCATTTTCGTATGTTATTGAGCTTGGCCTATAAGGCGGAAAGTCATGATGACTTGGAAATCTCCATCCAAACAAGTTAGAGTTAGATTTCTTGCTTCATTTCTGAATCTCTCAGAAGGACAATGAGAGAGACATTGACTTGTTTCTTAATTGCTTTCTAGTTTTGAAATTTATTTGTTTGCAAAGAATGTATATTTTTGAGACAGGGTTTATCTGCATAGTTTTGGTGCCTGTCCTGGATCTCACTCTGTAGACCAGGCTGGCCTCGAACTCACAGAGATCTGCCTGGCTCTGCCTCCTAAGTGCTGGGATTAAAGGTGTGCGCCACTGCTACCTGGCTAAAACTACATTTTTTAAAAAAGCTTATTCCCCAATTCAAAATGGTGGTAGTGAATTTTCAAGCTTTTCTAAAATTTTGCTTAGGGAAGGCAACATAACTAAACAAAATAACTTATAGTTCACAATTATAGAAAAAAAAATAGAAACCAGTATAAGAGCAGAGGAAATACCACCAAACCAAGCATGTGATGACCAAAGTTGATGATGTATTTCATATTGTCCCCAGTCCTCTTGCCAAAAAATAAGGGTCAAGAGTTTACTTGCAGAAATTTCTAGATGTATTTATTTAATGCTGATAAAAGTGCTTTATAATTTCCCAAATTAATGGTTTAAAAAAGAAAAAAGATGATCCTAAAATAGTCCCCAACACTAACAGTAATGTGCTAGTATCCCATTTCTCATTCAAGATTTAGATATTTCCTAAGAGATGATTTCCCGGAATATTTGAGTTGTATTTCCTTATTAGTGCTCTCAACTCATTGTACAGTCACTCTACAGTGATGAATCCCACCTGTGAGCCCTGGACTAGCACATTCTGACAGCACATATAACTGTCTCACACCTGTTTCTCACTTGCGTGCCTTCCCTTCATCCCCCAAGAGACTTCATGAGCAGCCAGTGCCATAGACATAGCATCATAAAACCTCATGCTGGAGGACAGGCCCTTCATCCACTGTTCAAAGAAGGGTAAATGAGAGTTGGGGGAAATCATTGATTTTTTTTTTCCTCTTGTAATTTCCCACTTTTTTTTTTTTAATGGAAAACAGTCAAATGCTCAAACTTTCATTAGTTACATTGGTTGAGCTGGTTCTGCAAACACGGTAAATCTAGTACTTCACTTTCAAATCAAATGAAAAGCAGATGAACAGGACATTAGGAGTGACTGACTTGGTAGACATGTCAGCCTTGTCCTCTCTGTGATGTGTTAAGACCACAGCACGGCCACTCCCTGCCAGTGTAACACAGTCCCATTCTTTCATCACGGGTCCCTCAAAAAAATTTTTTATACCTCTGAGCACAACTGCCTTGAGTACGAAAATCATGGTTTGGTACCAAATCATAAAATAGTGTAACAAATATGTTTATTATATGCAAAGTAGTCTATGTAGTATATTATATAAAGGTAACTTTATTGTTAGTTTTAATTGAAACAAACATGTATATTGAAACAAAGGTAAATACTGTTAAGTGTTTATTATGCATGCCATGCTCATGTATTTAAAAAATCAATATAGAAGAAATTTACTGTTTGTTTCTGTGGCATTAATAATAACTTGAGAAAGCATTTCAATGCCACCAGTGTGCAGAAAGCAAATGACACACACAGTCCAAATGAGGGAGACTCTAGAGAGGCCCACACACCCCAGCTTTTCGAGGTGCTTCTGATATACTTGATTTTCAGCTGCCTGCTCATTGCTTCATAACAGCCTATTCCTGGAAAATAAAATACAAATTCCCCATGGATGCTTTAGTTGGAATCCCCATGGGGGGCTGAAACATGGCAAAATTATATGATTTTGTGTGGCAGTGTTGTCTCTGGTGGGATCCTATAAACCCAATGTATCAAATGAGCGGCTAACTAGTCACGTATTAAGTCTCTGGACTGAGCTGACCTGACTCAATCCTGAAAACTGTATTTAAAAACCTCAGAGGGGGCACATCTCTACCTTACGTTCCATTTTCAATCCTTTAAAGAATGACTTTGGGCCTGGGAAATGGCTCTGTGGGGGTAAGACGCTTGCAGCCAAGCCTGGTGACTTGAATTTGATCCCCGGGTTCTGAGTGGTGGAAGGAGAGAACTGAAATTGTCTTCTGACCTGCACATGCATGCCATGGCATGCATATCCTCCCCCATGTACATATCTCTTGCATACATGCATATACATTTTTTTTAAAAGGATGACCTTGCCCATGTATAGAATTGATTATCCCTTCTGCCTCCCTGTAATGGTATTTTTGGCTTCTGGAGATGCCACAGCTGAGAGAGGGACCAAACCTCACCCATAGGAATTCTAGTCCTAAGAGCCTTCTCTAGCACTCTGGACTGAACTAATGACCATCATGTTTTTTGGATGTTTATGTGAAGATGTAGGTTCAAATATCCCGTTACATATTTTGACTTCTAAAATGTGTGACATGAAAAGCTTTTATCTGAGCTTTACCAGGGTTTTACACGTTTTTAAAAGTGCACTAGAGAAAGATTTCAACATATTATACTATTTCCTGCTTTGTTTCCTACAGTTAACTTGATGCTTTCTCTTTCAAGCCAAGATGCCACACCAACTTTATGGGACTCCTTAGAAGAACCTCATATTAAGGACACCAGTGAATTTGAATATTTATTCTCCAAAGACACAACTCAACAGAAGAAAAAACCCCTGTCAGAGACCTACGAGAAGAAGAACAAAGTCAAAAAGGTACTGTGAGATCATTATTGTAATCATAGGCACATGGAAATTCACTACATCCCACTGGTTGTTGCTCTTTCCCCAGAAAATTATCTAAGTCTTAGATGGCAGAAGGATCCAGTTAATTTAAGAAACCTGGGCTTGCTGTTTTGTTTTTATCTTCTGAATTTTCAAATTTTATTCTGAACCATCGTTTTTTCTTGGTTAGGGTTACTATTGCTGTGATGAAACACCATGACCAAAGAAACTTGTAGAGGAAAGAGTTTACTAGGCCTATGCTTCCTAGTCACTGTATATCATTAAAGGAAGTTGGGACAGGAATTCAAACAGGGCAGGAACCTGGAGAGACAGGAGCTGATGCAGAGGCCATGGCACAGTGTTGCTTACTCATTCGCCCCTCATGGCTTGCTCAACCTGCTTTCTTATAGAACCCAGGGCTGCTAGCCTGGGGTGACCTCACCCACAATGAGCTAGGCTCTCCTATATCGATCCCTAATTAAGAAAATGCCCCATAGACTTGCCTACAGCCCGATCTTATGGAGGCATTTTTCTCAATTGAAATTCCTTTTTTTCCAATGAACCTAGCTTGTATCAAGTTGACATAAAACTAGCCAGCACAACTATAGTCATTAATTCTATTTAAAAAAATTTGTTTAAATTGCTGTTAGTGAAAGTAGTTTGTATTCCACCCAAAAATAGATCTCATGGGACTGCTGTGATTGCTCACAATCACCCCAAGGTGAGGGGATCAGCATGGGCAAGGTGTGGGTGGGGGCTGCAGTTTTAAATGGGATTTTCAAGGCAAGTCCCATTGAAAAGATGACTTCTGTGTAAAAGCATGAGGATTTAAAAACCAAAAGCCACTAGTCATCTGTAGAACAATGCTGTGGAATATCATTCTGTATGCTGTGAATATGTGTTGCTCTGATTGGTTGATAAATAAAATGCTGATTGGACAGTAGCCAGGCAGGAAGTATAGGAAAATGAGGAGAATTCTGGGAAGAGGAAGGCTGAGTGAGGAGTTGCCAGCCAGACACAGGGGAAGCAAGATGTGAAGGCAGAACTGAGAAAAGGCACCAAGCCATGTGGCTAAACATAGATAACAATTATGGGTTAATTTAAGTGTAAGAGCGAGTCAGTAATAAGCTTGAACTAATAGTCAAGCAGTTATAAATAATATTAAGCCTCTGTGTGAATATTTTATAAGAGACTGTGAGACTGTGAGACTGTGGGTGAGAGATTTGTCCTGACTGCAGGCCAAGTGGTACACAGGAAAACTTCCAGCTACAGAACAACTTTACCATCATCCAGCAATCAGGCAGACATGAGGCCCAATATGACCTCAGTTAAACACCTTGACACAAAGAAAGGTGTCAGTCCTTGCTCTCTCCTAATCCCTTAGCCATAGCACAAGATAACATCTGTTGTGATTTAGTAAGTCCCCCAAAGACCCATTTGGCAAAGCTTTGGTTCCCAGCATGGTACTACTAGATCCTTTGAGATATAGAGCCCTATAGAAGGTCCTTAAGTCACCGGGGACATACCCTCAATAGGATTGTCGGACCTTAGTCTCTCCTCACTTCCAGCTCATGAAGTGGGCAGAGCAGTTGGGTCTGCCATGTTATTCTGCCCTGATATGGTGCTTTTGCACAAGGCCTAAAGCAAAAGAAACACTAGATTTTGACATAGAACATTCAGAATAATGGGTAAAAATAAGCCTTTTCTCTTTCTAAGTTATTTGCTTCAGGAATTCTCAGGTACCTTGTTGTGCATGAAAGCTGACTAATACAAGAGCCATACATCATGCCCTTCTGTGATAATGAACTGAGCTCATATTGTCCATGGTCTGTGGTATGTGATTAGTCCACATTCTATGATGGCTGCTCTCCACATTCTGTGATGGCTTGCTATGGTCACCACCATTGCCACAGTCCCTTTGCATTCATGTTTGGTTAACAGCAGAATGGTGCTAAGGACTGAGTGAGCTCTGATTCAGTTGCTAATTGGCTCTATGAACTTGGAGGGAGTGGTTGTCTTTCTTCTCATATTTTCTATTGATATGATTATCAATACCAAATCTACTTGACCAGGGTGCTGTGAAATCTATGGGGATCTGAGAAAGTTTCAAGAGTATATCAGATGGTGTTACTGCCATCTGTACTTCCTTCTTAAATTATGTGGTGGGTTTCATGTGTCAGTTCATACTCCTTGTGCCACTATGAACATAACTATATTACATGAAATGGGCTGCAACTTATAGAAGACAAACCAGAAGTTCCTAATTGTAGTTTTGTGATCCAAATTAAATTTTCCCATGGGCCTAAAACCATAATCAACAATTGTAGATGTAATTCTAAACGGTCTTATTAAATAAGAAACACAGAGCCAAATAAAGAGTTAAAAGCCCAGAGATCAGAGCAGTAGCCAAGAGCTAAGACCACCTTATCTTACCACTCGCTGCCATCCTTCCCCTGAGAGAGAGACCTTCTTCCTGTGTCCTGTCTTTTTATTGCCTTTCTGTTCTTTTTCATTGGTTCTAAACCCTCCCACATGACTTCCTCGTCACTACCTATCTATACAGACCTCCAGGTCTCTATGGTTGGTACCGGGATTAAAGTGTGTCACCATGCTGGCTGTGTCCTTGAAGACATAGAGACTTTGCCTGCCATGTGATGGGATTAAGGGCGTGTGCTACCACTACCAGACTTCTGCGTAATGACTTGCTCTTAGCTCTGATCCCCAGGCAATTTTATTTATTAACATACAAATAAAATCACATTTCAGCACAAAAAAAAATATCACCATAAACCATTTTTATCCTCTAAGTACACCAGAAGTATTTTATCATGAGAAAACTGTGATCCCAATAATTAGATATGGTAATGAATCTTTACTTTTTTTTAAAAATTTAAAAGTGTACACATGTATATATATGTGTGTGTGTGTGTGTGTGTGTGTGTGTGTGTGTGTGTGTGTGTGAATGTCTGTACCTGTGGAGGCTGGAAGAGGGCCTTGGATCACCTGGAGCTAGAGTTAAAGCAGATGTGGGCTATCCAACATGGTTCTAGGAATCAAACTCAAGCTCGATCGAAAAGCAACAAGTGCTCTTAACCTCTGATCCCTCTCCCTAGTCACAGAGTGAATCTTTTAAGAGTACATGTTACATGGAACAACTGAAATTCTCCTGTAAGAGCAGTACCAGGCAAGAAGTCACTGACCTACCATGACCTACCATGAAATGGATTCCAAGAAATGGAATTCCAAGACTCAAAATCCATGAAATGGATTCCATGAAATGGATTCCAAGACTCAAAAAGTCTTGAGTCTTGTGGAGTGAGTGAGTGTGTGTGTGTGTGTGTGTGTGTGTGTGTGTGTGTGTGTGTGTGTGTGTTTGGGGGTGGGGGCTGGCTTTTTAGATGCCATCTATCACTATAAGAAAGGCAGAAGGAAAATCTCTACACTCTAAAGGTGCCCTCAGTTTACTTCTACCAACAAAGCTTCTATAACTAGCCAGAAACTGCCCAAGTACTGTCTTATGCAATATCACATTAAATGTTTCTGTGTTCTCTATTTCTTCTTCAGTTACATTGCTCTGTTTTGTTTCTCTCTCTGGATGTTTTGGTAACATGTTGTTTCCTCCTAAAATGAATTATTTCTGTTTTTGTAAGTGAATATTTGTTTTCAAGTATGTTAACATTTGGTCATCCATTCTAGTTTCTTATCTCCTAATTGTGTGCCTATCCAACAGTTGATTTCAATTAAGGCAATTAGACCTTGATTCTTTGTTTTGTTGCATTGTCTGAAGAAGGGATGTGCTTCCTTTGAACTCTTCAGGCTTGCTGCTTGGTGAGGTTCCATCACCCCACAGAATCTACATGCATGCATGCTATGTTTGAGGGTTCACTGCAAATAGAGCCAAAACCTCTGGGTCCAGTGAGCTTCCCAGTAAGGGTGGTGTTTGGAGTTTTCAGTGAACTTTGTAGCCTACCTTAAGCTGAGGTTTTAAGTTGTAAAGAAAGTAAAAAGCTAAATCAATACCAGAAAATTGCAAACCTGCCCCTTTGAGCCCACTCAGCCTCCATGCCTGTGGCCAGATTTCAAACGTCAAGATGGATCCCTTCTAGAGTCCGATGTTTGTTTTCTTTTCTCCTGAAGTGAAGATGAAAGTGACTTTTTAGAGGACTTTCAGCTTCGGGGGCCAAATCCTTCAGCATAATCATGAGATGGTTCCCATATGAGGAGACCACAGGAACACTTGTCAAATAGGTCTTTTTCTAATGCCTGAACTAGAGGAAGAACCGTGTGTGTCGGATACTGAAGCATCCAGCTCTCTGAATTTTAGAAGGAGGGGCTGAGCCAACATCGAGGCAGAAATGTACAGATCTCTGAAGTAGAGCAGAGCATTCCACATGTATGCCTCAGAAATGATGGGCTTTATTGTTCAATCTGCTGAACTCAGGTGAGACCTTCTAACGTCAAGCTTTATAACAGTGTCTACATTTCCCATCGTTGATCCTGTCTTACACTAAGACATACGTGGATTCTCAAACTGAGCAGAAATCTTGTTCTACAACAAGCAGTCTAAGAATGAAAAGGAAACCCACTCGTGGTGTAGTTCCATTCTCTCATCATGACATAGAAACCAAGACTGAAGTGACTTCTAGGGCTTTGAACTTCTCTAACTGGGAAGATGTTGATGATGACCATTGGAGAGTAGCCACAAGATCTTCAGCATATGTCTGTGATTCCTCTTTTAATTCACCACACTGTTGATAGTTACAGTTTTCACTGAGATGACTGAATTGAAGTTGATGAACAAGAACAGCCATTGCTACAGGAGCCAAGACACAGTTACACCTGATGAAGTCTAAATGGTTGCTTTCATTGTGAGATTCTCCAAAGTGTTCTTTAGTGTTCTACTGGGGGTGGGAATGGGGATTCAAACTCCTGAGAAAAATATGTGCCTCGTGTACAATTAGTGCAAAGAAATACATAGATTTCACGTGTGT